CTGCCATCCAGGTTTCTCGGCTCCCTGAGCAAGGAGCCAGGGCACTAGACAGCAGCCCGGCTGGGAGCTCAGGGGCAGCCAGCTCCCAGCAGAGAGCACAGGCAGCAGCCTGGCTGGGATGGGGGGGAGCTGAGAGGGGGGCGAGCTGGGCTGTAGCTGGAGCCCACCACTGGCCTGAGCTTTCTTGTCAATTTCACAGCTCCAGCATAGAGTCATGAAATTGGCAGACAGCAAACAGCTGATGTAAGGCATTGTGTACATGGACACTGTGTCACCCTGACTACAGCAACATAAGCCATACACCTCTCGTAGAAGTGGTGCTATTATGTCAGTGTAGTAGGGCACTTAAATTGGCGGGAGCAAGGCTGTAGTGTGTACGCTGCCATAATCAGGTTGACATGAAGCTGCCTTATGTCAACCTAACTGTAGTGTAGACCAGGCCTAAGGCTAAGCATTTGGATGTCTGTCTCCCGTCTAAGGCCCGGTGCTATCCATGACCCACAGGAAGACAGGTGCTTCTCCACCTAACTCTTCTGTGGGGCCTGATCAGGGAGGCGTGCTCAGAGACCACCTAATGGATTGGGCCCCATTCAAAAGCTGGCAGCAAGAGGTGATGCTGATCACTGTTAGTCCAGTGATCAGAGCACTCATCTGGGATGTGGGAAACCCAAGGTCAGTTGCCTCCCTCCCCCCACCTAAGGGGAAGAAAGGATTTGAACAGGGGTTCCCACACCTCTCAGATGACTGCTGCAGCCATTGGTCTCAAAGTTCTAAGATGGCCGCCTCCTCTTCCGGCGTGCATCTTCGCGAGCAGGCTGGCTAACCTAGTGAGGAGGGCTTTAAACTAGATTCACCGGGGGAAGGAGAACAAAGCCCTGAGGTAAGTGGGGAAGCGGGATACCGGGAGGAAGCATGAGCAGGAGCATGTGAGAGGGGAGGGCTCCTGCCTCATACTGAGAATGAGGGGAGATCAGCGGGTTATCTCAAGTGCCTATATACAAATGCACAAAGCCTGGGAAACAAGCAGGGAGAACTGGAGGTCCTGGCAAAGTCAGGGAATTATGATGTGATTGGAACAACAGAGACTTGGTGGGATAACTCGCATGACTGGAGTACTGTCATGGATGGGTATAAACTGTTCAGGAAGGACAGGGAGGCCAGAAAAGGTGGGTGAGTTGCACTGTATGTAAGGGAGCAGTATGACTGCTCAGAGCTCAAGTATGAAACTGCAGAAAAACCTGAGAGTCTCTGGATTAAGTTTAGAAGCGTGAGCAACAAGGGTGATGTCATGGTGGGAGTCTGCTATAGACCACCGGACCAGGGGGATGAGGTGGACGAGGCTTTCTTCCGGCAAGTCGCAGAAGCTACTAGATCACACACCCTGGTTCTCATGGGTGACTTCAGTCATCCTGATATCTGCTGGGAGAGCAATATAGCGGTGCACAGACAATCCAGGAAGTTTTTGGAAAGTGTAGGGGACAATTTCCTGGCGCAAGTGCTGGAGGAACCAACTAGGGGCAGAGCTCTTCTTGACCTGCTGCTCACAAACCGGGAAGAATTAGTGGGGGAAGCAAAAGTGGATGGGAACCTGGGAGGCAGTGACCATGAGATGGTCGGGTTCAGGATCCTGACACAAGGAAGAAAGGAAAGCAGCAGAATACGGACCCTGGACTTCAGAAAAGCAGATTTTGACTCCCTCCGGGAACTGATGGGCAGGATCCCCTGGGAGAATAACATGAGGGGGAAAGGAGTCCAGGAGAGCTGGCTGTATTTTAAAGAATCCTTATTGTGGTTACAGGGACAAACCATCCCGATGAGTCGAAAGAATAGTAAATATGGCAGGCGACCAGCTTGGCTTAACAGTGAAATCCTTGCTGATCTTAAACACAAAAAAGAGGCTTACAAAAAGTGGAAGATTGGACAAATGACCAGGGATGAGTATATAAATATTGCTCAGGCATGTAGGAATGAAATCAGGAAGGCTAAATCACACCTGGAGTTGCAGCTAGCGAGGGATGTTAAGAGTAACAAGAAGGGTTTCTTCAGGTATGTTGGCAACAAGAAGAAAGCCAAGGAAAGTGTGGGTCCCTTACTGAATGAGGGAGGCAACCTAGTGACAGAGGATGTGGAAAAAGCTAATGTACTCAATGCTTTTTTTGTCTCTGTCTTCACGAACAAGGTCAGCTCCCAGATTACTGCACTGGGCAGCACATCATGGGGAGGAGGTGACCTGCCCTCTGTGAAGAAAGAAGTGGTTCGGGACTATTTAGAAAAACTGGACGTGCACAAGTCCATGGGGCCGGATGCGTTGCATCCGAGAGTGCTAAAGGAATTGGCGGATGTGATTGCAGAGCCATTGGCCATTATCTTTGAAAACTCATGGCGATCGGGGGAAGTCCCGGAAGACTGGAAAAAGGCTAATGTAGTGCCAATCTTTAAAAAAGGAAGAAAGAGGATCCTGTGAACTACAGGCCGGTCAGCCTCACCTCAGTCCCCGGAAAAATCATGGAGCATGTCCTCAAGGAATCAATTCTGAAGCACTTAGACGAGAGGAAAGTGATCAGGAACAGTCAGCATGGATTCACCAGGGGAAAGTCATGCCTGACTAACCTAATTGCCTTCTATGATGAGATAACTGCTTCTGTGGATGAAGGGAAAGCAGTGGGCATGTTATTCCTCGACTTTAGCAAAGCTTTTGACACGGTCTCCCACAGTATTCTTGCCAGCAAGTTAAAGAAGTATGGGCTGGATGAATGGACTATAAGGTGGATAGAAAGTTGGCTAGATTGTCGGGCTCAATGGGTAGTGATCAATGGATCCATTTCTAGTTGGCAGCCGGTATCTAGCGGAGTGTCCAAAGGGTCGGTCCTAGGGCCGGTTTTGTTCAATATCTTCATTAATGACTGGAGGATGGTGTGGATTGCACCCTCAGCAAGTTTGCGGATGACACTAAACTGGGAGGAGTGGTAGATATGCTGGAGGGTAGGGATAGGATACAGAGGGACCTAGACAAATTGGAGGATTGGGCCAAAAGAAATCTGATGAGGTTCAACAAGGACAAGTGCAGAGTCCTGCACTTAGGACGGAAGAATCCAATGCACCGCTACAGACGAGGGACCGAATGGCTAGGCAGCAGTTCTGCAGAGAAGGACCTAGGGGTGACAGTGGACAAGAAGCTGGATATGAGTCAACAGTGTGCCCTTGTTGCCAAGAAGGCCAATGGCATTTTGGGGTGTATATGTAGGGGCATTGCCAGCAGATCGAGGGATGTGATCGTTCCCCTCTATTCGACATTGGTGAGGCCTCATCTGGTGTACTGTGTCCAGTTTTGGGCCCCACACTACAAGAAGGATGTGGAGAAATTGAAGAGAGTCCAGCAAAGGGCAACAAAAACGATTAGGGGTCTGGAACACATGACTTATGAGGAGAGGCTGAGGGAACTGGGATTGTTTAGTCTACGGAAGAGAAGAATGAGGGGGGATTTGATAGCTGCTTTTAACTACCTGAAAAGTGGATCCAAAGAGGATGGATCTAGACTATTCTCAGTGATAGCAGATGACAGGACAAAGAGTAAAGGTCTCAAGTTGCAGTGGGGGAGATTTAGGTTGGATATTAGGAAAAGCTTTTTTACTAGGAGGGTGTTGAAACACTGGAATGCGTTACCTAGGGAGGTGGTGGAATCCCCTTCCTTAGAAGTTTTTAAGGTCAGGCTTGACAAAGCCCTGGCTGGGATGATTTAGTTCGGATTGGTCCTGCTCTGGGCAGGGGGTTGGACCTCCAGAGGTCCCTTCCAACTCTGATATTCTATGATTCTATGTGAGGCAGGCACTTGGCACATTCCCATGATAAACGCCTGGCTTCAGCAGAGGGTTCCTGGCAGGAGCACTGGAAGCTCCCTAGAAGTGGGGGGCCACTGGCAGCTGGACCGTGGCCCTGCACCCATGGTCCACTCATGCTCTGCCCTGAGGCCCCGCTCCCGCTTGGCCTCCGCCTTTTCCCGCACATACTCTGGCTCTCCCCGCCAAGACTCCCCCCACACTCTGCCTCTTCCTGCCATCATTCCGCCTCTTCCCCCCGAAGGCCCTGCCCACCACTCGCTCTTCTCCGCCCCGTCCCCCCAGTTGCTTGCCCTGGCCCCCCCGTTCTGGCATCCTTGGTTCCTGGCCGAGAATCACTGGCACAGCTACATGCCTCCCTGCAGCCTGGACTCAGGTGCCAAACTCCCAGAAGGGGCAGTGCTTAGCACACCCCTTATCCTCAGATCGCCTGGGGGCTAGCGTAGGCGGCCAGTGTGCTGGCTTGTGTGCATGGCATTCTAAGGGTATGTCTACACTACAGTTAGACACTCGTGACTGGCCCCTGCCAGCTGCCTCAGGCAAAGGGGCTCTTTCATTGTGATGTAGGCATTCAGGCTTGGGCTGGGGCCCGGGTTCCAGGACCCTGAGAGGTGGGGGTCCCAGAACATCTGCTCTGCAATTACACAGCCCCTTAGCTCAGCCCGGCAAGCCTGAGGTAGCTGGTAGGGGCCAGCCATGGATGTCTAACTGCAGTGTAGATATACCCTAAGGCACCTAGCTCTCCCCATTGATTGCATAGGGAGCCTAGACACCTACCTATGGCTTTGTTGATCCCAGTCCAACGTGGGCCATAGAATTCTGATGATAGAGGGCTCTTTAATATAGAGGGCAAAAGCAGTACAAGCTTAAGTGGCTGGAAGCTGAAGTTAGACAAATTCAAAGGGCTTAAGGGTCACGGTGGAAACCAGCAGACTATGAGCACCCAGACCCGCCAGAGCAATGCTGTGGCTAAAAGGAATCACATGACTTGGGGCTTTCGTCCATGGGCATACCGAGCAGGAGTGGGAAGGTGTGTCTCAGTACCGTGATGGGGAGACCTTACTGCATTCACCCTTCAAAAAGGATGTTGACAAATTGGAAAGGGATCAGCAAAGAGCTCCAAAGACAATTCCAGGTCTGGAAAACATGCATCACAATTAGAGCTCGATCTATTTAGTTTATTGAAGAGAAGTTTAAGAGGTGACTTGATTGCTTTCTGTAAGTGCCAGCATGGGGAGATTTCTGACACTGGAGCGCTGGTCAACCCAGCACACAAAGCCCCAAGAGCCAGTGGCTGGAAGGTGAAGCTGGAAAGGCGGCACACGTATTAACAGTGAGAGCAATTAGTCTTTGGAACAACTCACCTAGTGCTGTAGTGGATTCTCCTCACCTGGGTGTGGGTGTCTTTCTAACACAGGGATTCTCAAACTGGGGGTTGGGACCCCTCCGGGGGTTGCAAGGTTATTACATGGGGGGTTGTGAGCTGTCAGCCTCTACCCCAAACCCCGCTTTGCCTCCAGCATTTATAATGGTGCTAAATATATTTTAAAAGTATATTTAATTTATAAGGGGGGTCGCACTCGGAGGCTTGTACGTGAAAGGGGTCACCAGCAGAAAAGTTGGAGAAGCACTGGTCTAACAGAACTGCTCTAGCTCAGTGACTCCCTAACTGGGATGTGAACTCCATGTGGCATCCATTCACTTCACAACAATCTTTAAGAATCAGTGCAGTTGAGGAACCGCTGCTAGCTCTTCCACAAGACAGAGTCTCACTGCAGGAGTTCCTGGGTGAAATTCGGTGGTCCACATTATGCAGGAGGTCAGAAAACATGCCATCACTGCTGGCCTACATTTCATCCAACTGTAGGGGGTCAGCTTGTGGCGATGCATGTTGAGCAAGTCGGTCCTGTCCCAGCAGGGGGCAGCGATGCAGATGTGAGCCCATTCCCCAGAGGGTAGTTGCCCAGACACACGCACCCAGCCAGCTCGATGCTGCTGCCTCTGGCGCCTGGGAGCGTGTGAGACATGGGGGGCACATGGCAGACAGGTATCAGCCCCACACACATCTGCCAAATTCAGCACAAAGTGGTTTTTTTGCTTTCACAGAAGTGGCTACTAGGTTATGTCAGTAGCCCCTGGAGCCCTGGAGAGTGCCAGGTGCTGCACAGACACATGGTTCACAGTTCCTGGAGGATCGGTCCATCGATGGCTATGAGCCAGGCTGGGCAGGGATGGTGTCTCTAGCCTCAGTTTGCCAGAAGCTGGGAATGGGCGATGGGATGGCTCACTTGATGGTTGCCTGTTCTGTTCATTTCCTCTGGGGCACCTGGCATTGGCCACTGTTGGAAGACAGGATACTGGACTAGATGGACCTTTGGTCTGACCCAGTATGGCCTTTCTTATGTTCTTATAGTGAGAGGCAGGGCCTGCCCCAAAGAGCTTACAATCTCAACAGACAAGACAAACGGGGATGGGGAAACAGAGGCATAGAGATTTGCTCAAGGTCATACAACAAGGCAATGGCAGAGCTGGAAATAGAACCCTAGTGTGCTGTGGTGTCCTGTCCACACCATGTTGTCTCCCATCAGTGGGGTCCTGCTGTGCCCCCAAGGTAACTGTGTTAACAAGACAATGGGCTCCCTGAGACGACTAACCTCAAATGTTTGAATCAACCCCATTGCTACGGGAGGAGGAAAGAGGGCTTTCCTGCCCAGCTTGGAGGCCCAGAGACAGCAGGACAGGAGCTTGGCTGACTCTGCCAGAACCTGATGGCACTCCCACACACTCACACCACAGGGGAGCCAAGGAGAGGTGACTCCCTGATGTACCATGCCTAGCCCCGCTGAGGTGACGCCCTGGGCTGGGGTGCACAGGGAGGCAGGTGTAGGAGCATTCTGCCTGCTTGGGATGCTCACACTGGGATTTGCCTCCTGAGCAGCTGAGGGAAGAGACACCGACTGTGTCCCCCTGGGGGCTTGTTGTCAGGGACTATGTAAAGGAAACTCACACTTCCAGCTAAGCTGTGGTCACACCCCATAGTGCAGCCTCTTCCCCTCAGCCAGAGGGCCCTGAAGGCCAAGGGTCTGTCCCTGCTCCTTGCTCAGTGCCTGGGATGTTTGATGGCACCCAAAGCCAGGCTGAATATGGTCCCTGCCCCGGCCAGGCCTCACTCTGCACCCTTTAAGTCCCAGAACACAGAAGGCGTTTACCTACGCACAGGTTTAATCAGGATTTTCGTGCACACACTTGTCATTCCAGCTATGACAGCGCAGCAGGAGGGGGTGCAGGCCTGGAGCTGGGGGCCACCACACATAGGGTGATGAGGCAGCTCACCTCGTGCCTCCAAGCCTTACTCCTGCTTCTTGGGGAAAAGCAAAATCAGGGGTCAGGGAGGGGAAATCCCCAGGGCAGCACCGCACAATTGGCTAGGGGGCTTTCCTCTGACGCACCAAGTATCAGCTGTTGACAGAGGTGAGCCAGCAGCCTAGATAGGCTGGGTCTGAGGTGGCAGGGCACAGGCCAGAGGGGCCAGCAGGTCTGACTTAGCAGAGCAGGAGCTAATGCAGGACAGGCCGGACCAGTGATCAAATCCTGCGCACCTAGCTTCCCAGTGACCTAGCCATGGCCCCAGGCTGCCCAACTGTCCTAGGGCCCCTCATGTCTCCCCCAGGGAAAGGGCAGTAAAAAGCCTCAAATACTGTACTGAAGTGAACTGGGAGGACCAATGACCCCCAATGACCCTGGCCAGCTGGGCAGGGACCCCAGAGTCAGTGCCCTAGGACTACAGACAAGGTGAGAACTGATCTCTGTTACCCATTTCCAGGGACCCCAATGCGCCTGGGGAAGGGTCAGTCACAGGTTTAGCCACTTGTAGAGGAGCAGGGAAAGCAGGAGAGGAAGAGACAGGCTGGGAAGCCAACCCGGCCTCCTGGGGAGGAGGCGGAGAGTTTCCCTCTGCCCTGCTGTGTGCATGGGGGTGGGGGGCATCTCTAGTCTGAGGGTCAGGAAGGGCACCGCTGATCAGCGGTGGGGAGATGGTGTTTCTCCGGGGAAATTCCCACTTCAGCTCTGGGGGACTCCTGTGAAGCTTGAGTGTAAGCTCCCCAGCCACCTGGACTCACTGAGCTCCTAACCTTGCCACTGCTCCCTGTGGGAAGCATGCTGCTAGGGGTGGCCCCCTTGGCCAATGAACAGAGGATGCGATAGCATGGGGGCTGCAGCTCACCTGTGAGAGCAATAGTTGCACTTGCTTTGTGGGGCTGAGCTGCGTGATTCTGGCCAGAGGCCGGATGGAAACAGGAGCCTCCTGCCATCCAGGGGCCATGAGAGGAGCCCTACTGGGCTTGGCAACTTGTCCTGGATACCCAAGTGCAGTGCGGGGCCATCCGCTGTTAGTGTGCTATGCCCAGCCCTATGCAGGCTGCAATGGCAGCTCCTAATGTGAGGTTTCTCCTTGGGGAGGGAGCCCACTGGGAGCAAAGAGCTGTACCAGGCACCATTGAGCAACAGGACTGTGGGTGCCTGCCAAGTGGCACCCTGCCCTGCCCCTGTGCCTGCGGCTCACACCTGTCCTGCTGCAGCTGCAAATGGACAGGGCCCTCATGCTAGATTTGGAGAAATTGCGCCATGCCACAGGAGGTGCTGCCCAGGAGCCCCCCAGACCTTGGTTCCATGGCAATCATTTGCAGGCTAACCTGCTCCTTGGGAAGGGCTGGCCTCTGCCAGGCGGACAAAGGGCCCATGGTCACACTAGGATCACAGCAACAGTGCTCTGCTCCCCCTCACAATTGGGCTATTGAGATCCTGGTGCCTGTGAGCGCCGAGCTCAGGTGGAGCCTTCGCAAAGGCGGCTTCAGCAGAGGGAACTCGCCCCACAAAGGAGCCAGTGTCTGGCTGCACAAGAGCTTCCTTTGTGCTCATGCCGTGTATTCTGGTCCCTCAGAACGCAGCCTCCCTCACTAAGGCGAGACAGAGCTGTGACCCTCAGAAATGGCCCAGGGACTGCAGGGGGACCCCACTTGGCACATCCTGGGGTACCCCACTTGGAACATCCTGGGGTAGCCCACTTGGCATGCCCAGGGGACTGCAGGGGGACTCACTTGGCATGCCCTGGTGACTGTGGGGATACCCCATTTAGTACACCCTGGAAAGACCCACTTATCATGCCCAGGGGATTGCAGGGGGACCCCATTTAGCACACCCTGGGGGGACCCATTTGGCATGCCCAGGAGACCACAGGGGGACCCTAATCGGCATACTCCCTCAGTGAAGCAGGCAGGAGAGGGCAGGGATGTGCTGCACTGCTTTCCTGAGGGAGAAGATGGCAATGGCTAGTCTGAGACTAGGCACGGGGTGTCCTAGGTTCACAGGAGTCACAATGCAGCAGATAAGCCCACAGCAGGGGCTCATAAGCTCACAGTCCAGGGCACAAGGCGCTGACTCTGCAGTCTCTCTGGGGTCTCCTCAGGCTCCAGGGTAGGTGGGCTGTGGGGGGAGATAGGGTAGAGGTGCTGTGGAGGAAAGAGATGCAGAGTGTCATTCAGCAGAACCAAGTGCAGCAAGTGCCGGGGTGAGAAGGCTCCCACATGCCCCAGCCCCGGGGGTTTGGGGATAATGTGAGTGGGGAGGCTGCAGCACACCCAGCCAATACACTGCTGCTGCTAAGGCCAGCTGAGGGCAAGCTCCGGCATTCTGGGGCTTAAGGCAGGGGCTCTAGCCCAGCTCCCCTCGGTATGCAAGGGCCATCAATTCTGGGTCTGTTGCAGGGATTCATGAGCGATTGGCATCCCATGCCCATTGAACACACAGGCTGTCACTGTTCTACAAGCCAGCCCACAGTGCACTCTCCCTCTGCCAAAATCTGAAGAACCGGTTCCTTCACTCGCTCCGGGTCTTCGGCGGCACTGAGGGACCTGTCGCCAAAGTGCCGCCGAAGACCCGGAGCGCCGCTGGGTGAGTAAAAAGGGATTCTCAGCCAGGGGAGCCTCCCCAGCCGGGAGCTCAGGCAGGCTGGACAGGACGGTCCTGCAGGCCAGATGTGGCCTGTGGGCCAGAGTTTGCCCAGCCCTTTAACAACCGGTTCTGAACCAGCTTCAAAATTTAACAACCGGTTCGCGTGAACCAGTGCGAACCAGCTCCAGCTCACCACTGGATGGACCTGGTGCCATCAGATACCCACAGACAAGCCCCCTGGGGCTGCTGCCTCCACACAAGGGCAAGCAGATGAGCTCTGAAGAGTGGGCTCCAGCTCAGCCCTGGGTGAGTAGAGCTCACAGGCTGAGGGGTGAATTCAGGCCCCAGGGAGCAGGAATGGGGAAGAGCATGCAAGTGACAGCACTGCCAGAGAGCCCCTGGTGAGAGCATGGGCACATGGGGCAAGGCTTGCCACAGCACGCAAGCGCCATGGGGAATGACACAGAGCCCCCCCTCCGCACGTGGAGAAAGACGCAGACCCATCCTCCCACATCGGGAACCACACAGACTCCCTCCCCTGCCCTCCCAAAATGGGGAACAATGGAGACCCCCCCCCCGTTGCGATAACTGGGCCTACACATTTACCCTAATTGTAAACTCAGCTGTAAAACATGAGTGAAGGCTCATAAACTGTCCCAAGAACTGATAACAACATATGCAGATGGGAAAAGGTACAGAGGCGAGACCGAAGACAGAATTAATCCAAACAAAAGGGGCTTCCAATATAAAAAGGACTGTGTTAAGAACATGCCTGGTAAACACGAGAAGGGTGGGACTGGAAATCAATTAACCACAATCGGTATGTTGGACACCAGGCCGAATTCATAAATAAAATACTGAGGGGCTGTGCTATTCCACCCATCACCCCTTTTGGGGTCCTCAAAAAGGGATTTTCAGGGGAAGCTGCCTTCTGCAACACTTGTGGACTGAAAAACAGGAGATGGGGAAGGGTCACAGCTGCCACCCCCACCATCTCCAGGGACCCCGGATCTTCTTCTGCCTAACCTTGAGAGATGTCCTGACCAGACCAGGCCAGAGAGGGGGGCCCAGATGAAGCCAGTACTGGCTCAGGCTCAAGGAGCTCAGGCTGAGGGGTTGTAACTGCAGTACAGACGTTCGGGCTCAGGCTGGAACCCAGACTCTAGGACCCTGTGAGATGGGAGGGTCCCAGGGCTCGGGCTGCAGCCTAAGCCTGAATGTCTATGCCACAATTAAACAGCCCCTTAACCGCGAGCCCAGTCAGCTGCACAGGCCAGCCATAGGTGTGTAATTGCAGTGTTTGTGTAGAGGTAGCCAGAGTGGCTGATCAGACCATGTGCTGGGCCTGGGTTTTCCAGCACTGTCGTAGCAAATGAGAGTCAACCCCAGAGACAGAAGCTGCGTTTCCTCTCCTGGCTGTTCTGTTCTTTCCCCACTTCTCTGTGTTTGTCTTGGTTCATCCGCTAGGGACGCGGGATCAGACTAACAGCCGCAGCAGCGACTGCTCCAGCCCAGTAACTTCTCTTTGATCCAAACAGAGGGTTACTACCCACTCTGATACCATCTAAAAGACTGTCAGAGTCAGACAAGGGGTTTTTTCCTTTCAAGACTCTCCAGCTAAAGGGACAGGGAATGAGAGAGGTTGTTACAACACAACCCTTTCACTGGTTTCCCTTCTGTTCTGTCTCTTTACTAAAGGGTTAAGAAATGTGTTATGGTGGGACTGAGCAGGCCGAGGTCTCTACCTACCAAGCCCTGGGCCTCGGTAAGCACTGGGTAAAGTTGGATGGTGACAGGATCATGTTAACGCCTTTGACACTTTGGGGCCCTTTATTCCATCTCAATGTATACAAACACCCCCTTCCCTCCCAACCCAGAGAACAATGAACCCCCACTCCCTATGGAACCTGTTGGGTGCTGAGCCCTTCTGAGAATGTGATTGTGAATACTGGATCTCAGGGCAGAGGATAAAGATTGTCCCCTAAGCAACTGGTGTTGGAGGAGACCCCAGGGCTCCTAGTTTCGGAGGGACACAGCTCCGTAAAGAAGAGAGCTTCAAGCAGTGTTCTGGTTCCTGCTGCTCTTACCTGTTGGGTTGTACAGTGGGAGGCCTGCTGGGTACATCGGATACTGTGCAGCTGGGGCAGTAGGCGGATACATGGCCATGGGGGCATAGCCTGGCTGGGGGGGTGCAGCTCCAGCTTTGGGATCCACAGGGTAGGTGCATGGCGGCTGAGCTGGGTAGCTGGACAATGGGATCTCCTGGCCTGTGCAACAAAGACAAGGTTTGTGCTTCAAGCCCCAGAGTTGCAGCTCCACTCTGCAGTGAATACCCCCTCCCCATCCCCTTTTGAGACACCTCCAGCAGGCTTTCTCCAAGCCAGACCCCAAAGCACCTCAGAGCCTCCGAAAAACCCAGCCCTCTGACCAACTTCCAGACTCCCCCACAGAGAGATCCCACCAGGCCACCCCAGACACTACCATTGCAAGAGACTCTGCATCAAACAGCTCCCTGAGACACTCAAGCTCCCTTGCAAACACCAAAGACTCACGCTTCACCACCAGATCGGCCAGGCATCCAGAGAAGGAGGTGACTGCTCCAAACCCCCTGTGGGACTTTCAAAAGTACGTGTTCTCCCCTGAGCAGTGGGGCCCTCTCCTTGTGACATCCCAAGCTCTGCTGGGCTGGACACCCACATCCTGAGTGAACCTCTCTGCTGAGAGCCCCAGGAACCTGCTTCTGATGCTACAGGGACCATGTACACCCCCCAAAACTCACTATCTGCAAAGAGCAAAGATAGTTCGTCCTTCCAGCCCAACATTGTACAGTGACCACAGTGCAGGGAGTAGTGCTAGGCTGGCAGCCCCAGAGATAGAGTCACAGAACAAGTACAGAAGGAGCACAGTAGGCGCCCCCACTCCCTGCGAATGTCCCTCCATCGAGTTGTGGGGGTAGGAGAGGGACTCGCAGTCTCTAGGGCCCACTCATGGGCAGAGGGTATTTACTCCTGAGGGAATTCTGTGCCACTGCACATGCACAGAATTTATGTCCCCTGCAGATTCCTTTGCTTCCCTGTAGAAAAATGACTTTCTGATGGGGAAGCAGAGGGAAGCCACAAAAGCGGTCATGCAACCCTCCCCAGCAGTATGTTTTGGGTGCCCAGGGCAGCCAGCAGAGAAGTAAATCACAGTAGGGCAGGAGGCAGGACTGGGGAAGACCTGGCTGGTGGCTCCTTCCCTGCGCCAGGCTCAGCTGCTAATCCCGGCTAGGATGGGACTTCCTCTTCCCCTGCATGGCATCTGGGGCTGGGTCAGACCCACCCCCAGATTTCTTCCCTGGCTGCAGGAAACTCTGTAAACTCCACACACACCCCACCCACTTCCTGCACCCATCACTCCTGAGCTGCACGAGGAGGGATCCCTATACAGGGAGCTGCACCCGCATCTGCCCAACCCCTGTGCATCTAGCCCCCTCATGTCCACACCCTCCCACCAAGCCTCACCCCCAGACACTCGGAATCCCCCCGATGAGCCCCACTCCCCCTGCACCTGAACCACCCCAATGAGCCACCCTCACCCGGATCCCCACCCCACCAAGCCCCAACCAGCTGCACCTGGATCCCCATCTACTTCCCCAGCATCTGGACCCCTCACTGAGCTCCCTACACCCAGAACCACGTGCCAAGCTCTATCCCCTCGATTTCCAGACCTCCCCGCTGAACTCCAACCACCTTCACCCCCCTGCAGAGTCCCATTACCATTACATCCAGAACCACCACCCCCAACAAGCCCCTGTGTATCCAAATCCCCTCTGCAGCCGGATCCCCAACACAGAATTCTTTCACCCCACACCTGGATCCCCCCACACTAAGCCCCTCCATACTTGGATTATGCCTTGCTGAGCCTGCCTGCCCACACGGAGGAGCAGGGCCCTGGGGTGTTTCTGGGCCAGGCCCGGCCCTTGCACTGTGTCAGGGTTGGGTGCAGCCTCACTGCTGAGTTCAGCACAGAGCTGCACAGTGATCTTCCACCTCTGTGCGGCCAGTGGCCTGTGCTCCCCAATGCCATGCTGGAGCCTCTACATTTATTTGACAAATAAAATTTGCAGAATTTTAAAATATTGTGTGAAGAATTTTTTTTTGGCACAGAATGCCCTCAGGAGTAGGTTTTGAAGGGCGGGGAAGGCTAAGCCTCCCCAGACAGTCTTGCATGGCCCTGCCCACGCTCTGCCCCAAGGCCCCTTCCTGCTTCCCAGTGCTGTGTTGTGGGGGGCTCTGCTGCAGGGGGGCATTCCGGGGCTGCGGAGGGGCCATGCCACCCGCCCTCCTGCCCAGTGCTCCGGGGCTGGAGGAGGAGCGCCCTGCCACCTACCCAGCATGCTGGGGGTGGGGGGCCGCACCGCCCGCCCAACCACCTGGCACTCCAGGTCTGTGGGCAGCCCGGGACTGTGGGAGGGAGCTGGCAACCGTGAGGGTGGTAGGGGGGCTCTGTCCTCCAGCAGGAAGGGTGGGCCCTTGGGCAGAAGGGGTAGGGTGGGCTGGACTGGGGGCTAGCCTCCCTGAGCCTGGGGTTCACCTGCCGCCCATGGGCCCATTCATCCCTTGGTCTCTGCTGAGATGTAATTCGCAAAATCATGAGGAATATGGCTGAGAACTTTAAAACTGGATGGTAAGAGACTGCGAATCTGGTGATATTCTCAACAAAAAAAAGGCCTCAACCAGGCCTGGAGCTGTTTCCATTGCTTCACACATACTCAGCAGACACTCTAGATGTCAGAGTGACAATCCTGGAATCTTATTATATAGATGAGTGGAGAATGGGACCAGGACTGTGATGCTCGAAAGCCAGGTGCCAGCTCATGCCAGGCCCCTAGCATTGACAAATGCATAGCTAGAAACCAGTCTGGCTCCCCTGTCTGTTAGTATTTGTAAAGTAAGAATTAGGGTTATGAAAATGTGTTTAGTGTTTAGACTTTATGGAATGCTTGTAAATTGCTGCCGGCATTAATCTCACTTATAATACCTGTGTCCCATGTTTAAGGTTAAGATTCTGTCACGGGTATAAGTCAGGGACAGGTCGCAGGCAATAAACAGTTCATGGAAGCCTGCAACCTGTTCCTGACTTTTACTAAAAATACCCTGGGGCGTGGTGGTGAACAAACAGAGCACTGTTGGGGCTTGAATCTGCTCCAGCCACTGATCGCTGCTGCTCCATTCCCAGGGGGGCTGACCCAACCCCAGCTGCTGCACCAGCAGGCCAGAGGCTGGCTGCTGGCCAGCTGTTTGGCAGCCTTGGGGTTGACTGCTGGTCAGCTATCCCGGCAGCCCCCCCGGCCCTTATGCTCTGGTGGACCCCCAGCTAGCCACTGGCCAGTGGTTCCGGGGGCTACTGACCCAGCCTGATCGCTGCTCCAGCAGTCCCGGGCTGACTGCAGCCACCATTCCGGCAGTGATTGCTCCATGTCCATGGGGCTGGCTGCCGGTCAGCTGTTTGCCAGCCCCCCACAGCCATTGTTCTGGTGGCCCCAGAGCTGGATGTAGTGGTCATTGCTCTGGCAGCCCCAGGGCTGACTGCCAGTCTGCTGCTCCAGTGCCATGCCACCCCGTGCCCCACCTCACACCCCGCCCCCCCGCTCCAGCAGCCCCGGGGCTGGCCACTGGCCAGCTGTTCTGCGGGCCTCTGCTCCAGTCCTGCCCCAAAAGAAGTCCTGGAGGTCCCAGAAAGTCACAGAATATGTGACCTCCATGACAAAATCGTGTCCTTACCCATATTACAAGGTAATATTTAAGTGTTTGCTCTGAACCTATAAAAGTACCAGACAGGAGAGAAGCATTATCAAGTGTGAAATACTAGTTTATCACAGGAGGTGTTATCTCCTGCCTAACAAAAGAACATAGGAACATAAGAATGGCCATACTGGTTCAGACCAAAGATCAATCTAGCCCAGTATCCTGTCTTCTGACAGTGGCCAATGCCAGAGGGAATGAACAGAACAGGTAATCAAAGAATCATAGAATCATAGAATCATAGAATATAAGGGTTGGAAGGGACCCCGGAAGGTCATCTAGTCCAATCCCCTGCTCGAAGCAGGACCAAATCCCAGTTAAATCATCCCAGCCAGGGCTTTGTCAAGCCTGACCTTAAAAACCTCTAAGGAAGGAGATTCTACCACCTCCCTAGGTAACGCATTCCAGTGTTTCACCACCCTCTTAGTGAAAAAGTTTTTCCTAATATCCAATCTAAACCTCCCCCACTGCAACTTGAGACCATTACTCCTCGTTCTGTCATCTGCTACCATTGAGAACAGTCTAGAGCCATCCTCTTTGGAAGATCATCAAGTGATCTTTGGAAGATCATCAAGTGATCCAGCCCCTGTTGCCCATTTCCAGCTTCTGGCAATCAGAGGCTAGGGACACCATCGCTGCCCATCCTGGCTAATAGCCATTGATGGACCTTTCCTCTATGAATTTATCTAGTTCTTTTTTGAACCCTGTTATAGTCTTGGCCTTCACAACATCCTCTGGCAAAGAGTTCCAAAGGTTGACTGTGCCTTGTGTGAAGAAATACTTCCTTTTCTTTGTTTTAAATCTGCTGCCTATTAATTTCATTTGGTGACCCCTCGTTCTTGTGTTATGAGAAGGAGTAAAATGAAAAGGAGTACTTGTGGCACCTTAGAGACTAACCAATTTATTTGAGCATAAGCTTTCGTGAGCTACAGCTCACTTGTAGCTCATGAAAGCTTATGCTCAGATAAATTGGTTAGTCTCTAAGGTGCCACAAGTATTCCTTTTCTTTTTGCGAATACAGACTAACATGGCTGTTACTCTGAAACCTGAGGAGGAGTAAATAACATTTCCTTATTTACTTTCTCCACACCAGTCATGATTTTATAGACCTCAATCATATCTCCCCTTAGTCGTCTCTTTTCCAAACTGAAAAGTCACTTTCTTATCAATCTCTCCTCATACGGAAGCCATTCCACACCCCTGATAATTTTTGTTATCCTTTTCTGAACCTTTTCCAATTCCTTTTCAGAGATGGGGTGACCACATCTGCACGCAGTATTCAAGATGTGGGCGTACCATGGATTTATATAGAGGCAACATGACATTTTCAGTCTTATTCTCTATCCCTTTCTTAATGATTCCCAACATTCTGTTCGCTTTTTTGACTGCCGCTGCAGATTGGGTGCATGTTTTCAGAGAACTCTCCACGACGCCAAGATCTCTTTCTTGAATTATAACAGCTAATTTAGACCCCATCATTTTATATATATAGCTGGGAATTTAGACACCAGACGAATTGTTGTGGAACATCAGAGAACAAAATACTTTGTTGTTTGCTCCCCCGATACCAGTAAAGAGGAGCCATGCACGAGGACTAGTTCATCAGCTTGAGCTCTGGGGGAAGGGAATAAAAATTCCGGACAGGAAGAAACTGGATCTCTTTGCTCCTTGGACTTTGTGAGGGCAAGATTTCTAAGCACAAGCAAGGGATCCCCAGCTGCTTAGCCTGGGTTAGCCCTAGAGGACATATAGGGCTTGCATATTACGGCAGCCTCTGTTACCTTTTGGAACCTAAGACTGTAACTCATTTGTGTGTGTATGTTTACCTGCTTTAAACTTGTAAATAACTCATTTCTTTTTCTTAGTTATTAACTCTTTTTAGAAAAGCTGGACGTGCACAAGTCCATGGGGCCGGACGAGTTGCATCCGAGAGTGCTGAAGGAACTGGCGGCTGTGATTGCAGAGCCATTGGCCATTATCTTTGAAAACTCGTGGCGAACCGGGGAAGTCCCGGATGACTGGAAAAAGGCTAATGTAGTGCCAATCTTTAAAAAAGGGAAGAAGGAGGATCCTGGGAACTACAGGCCAGTCAGCCTCACTTCAGTCCCTGGAAAAATCATGGAGCAGGTCCTCAAAGAATCAATCCTGAAGCACTTGCATGAGAGGAAAGTGATCAGGAACAGCCAGCATGGATTCACCAAGGGAAGGTCATGCCTGACTAATCTAATCGCCTTCTATGATGAGATTACTGGTTCTGTGGATGAAGGAAAAGCAATGGATGTATTGTTTCTTGACTTTAGCAAAGCTTTTGACACGGTCTCCCACAGTATTCTTGTCAGCAAGTTGAGGAAGTATGGGCTGGATGAATGCACTACAAGGTGGGTAGAAAGCTGGCTAGATTGTCGGGCTCAACGGGTAGTGATCAATGGCTCCATGTCTAGTTGGCAGCCGGTATCAAGTGGTGTGCCCCAAGGGTCGGTCCTGGGGCCGGTTTTGTTCAATATCTTCATAAATGATCTGGAGGATGGTGTGGATTGCACTCTCAGCAAATTTGCGGATGATACTAAACTGGGAGGAGTGGTAGATACGCTGGAGGGGAGGGATAGGATACAGAAGGACCTAGACAAATTGGAGGATTGGGCCAAAAGAAATCTGATGAGGTTCAATAAGGATAAGTGCAGGGTCCTGCACTTAGGACGGAAGAACCCAATGCACAGCTACAGACTAGGGACCGAATGGCTAGGCAGCAGTTCTGCGGAAAAGGACCTAGGGGTGACAGTGGACGAGAAGCTGGATATGAGTCAGCAGTGTGCCCTTGTTGCCAAGAAGGCCAATGGCATTTTGGGATGTATAAGTAGGGGCATAGCGAGCAGATCGAGGACGTGATCGTTCCCCTCTATTCGACATTGGTGAGGCCTCATCTGGAGTACTGTGTCCAGTTTTGGGCCCCACACTTCAAGAAGGATGTGGATAAATTGGAGAGAGTCCAGCGAAGGGCAACAAAAATGATTAGGGGTCTGGAACATATGAGTTATGAGGAGAGGCTGAGGGAGCTGGGATTGTTTAGCCTGCAGAAGAGAAGAATGAGGGGGGATTTGATAGCTGTTTTCAACTACCTGAAAGGGGGTTCCAAAGAGGATGGCTCTAGACTGTTCTCAATGGTATCAGATGACAGAACGAGGAGTAATGGTCTCAAGTTACAGTGGGGGAGGTTTAGATTGGATATTAGGAAAAACTTTTTCACTATGAGGGTGGTGAAACACTGGAATGCGTTACCTAGGGAGGTGGTAGAATCTCCTTCCTTAGAGGTTTTTAAGGTCAGGCTTGACAAAGCCCTGGCTGGGATGATTTAACTGGGAATTGGTCCTGCTTTGAGCAGGGGGTTGGACTAGATGACCTTCTGGGGTCCCTTCCAACCCTTATATTCTATGATTCTATGATTCTATGATTCTTTAGTTAATGTATTATAGTATTGGCTACGAGTGTTGTCTTTGGTGTAAGATCTGAAGTGCAAGTGACCTGCGGTAAATCCTCTGGGACTGGGAGTAACCTGAATATTACTGTGATTTTGAGTGTAAGGGACCATCAACCACAAAGGCAAGTTTCTCTGGGTGGCAAGATCATAGAATCATAGGGATAGAAGGGACCATAAGGTTCATCTACTGTAACCCCCAGAGATGGATAGGAGTACCCAAGGGGACTGTCTGTGGTTCCATGTTGAGGCTGTTGTAGTGTCTGAGGAGTTCACACTTGATTGGTTGGTGAAATATAAATATAGAACTCAAAACCAATTTGGGGTGTGTGTCCTGTTTCTTGACAGTCTGCCCTGAGGGTGGTACTCATGCTCCTGAGCTACTGCAGACAGCTTAACAGGGACCAGGAGCTGAAGTTGGGGAAAAGACAGGATGGGTTAGGGACAGGTTGAAAGAGACAGGGCAGAAGGGGTGAAATATGTGTGTGTATGGCGGGGGGGAGGAACAGGTAGAAGGGCAACAAAAATGATTAGGGGTCTAGAACACATGACTTATGAGGAGAGGCTGAGGGAACTGGGATTGTTTAGTCTGCAGAAGAGAAGAATGAGGGGGGATTTGATAGCTGCTTTCAACTACCTGAAAGGGGGTTCCAGAGAGGATGGTTCTAGGCTATTCTCAGTGGTAGAAGAGGACAGGACAAGGAGTAATGGTCTCACGTTGCAGTGGGGGAGGTTTAGGTTGGATATTAGGAAAAACTTTTTCACTAGGAGGGTGGTGAAACACTGGAATGCGTTACCTAGGGAGGTGGTAGAATCTCCTTCCTTAGAAGTTTTTAAGGTCAGGCTTGACAAAGCCCTGGCTGGGATGATTTAATTGGGGATTGGTCCTGCTTTGAGCAGGGGGTTGGACTAGATGACCTCCTGAGGTCCCTTCCAACCCTGATATTCTATGATTCTATGTCTGTGACCACTAGAGAATACTCTCCTGCAGAGCTTGGAATAGAACCCACAAATCCTGGGTCTCACCATTCCTCTGCTGTCAGCAAATATCTGTGAAACCCATTAGCAAAATGTCTCTCTAGTGCTGATCCATATAGAGGATGACAACCTACTGCTGTGATCAATTACTTCCTTAGCTCAAGTGATAGAGATCTGTGCAGTGGATCAAAAGGTTCCAAACCTGACGATGACCCATGTGGGTGTCAATATGAGGCACATTATGCAATTTGTGATTTTTCAGTTTGCTATTTTAAAAACCTAGAAAATTACACACAAAAAACTATGGTAAGGTTGCAAAGTCAAAAACACAGAAGTTAGGAAATACCAGAAATAAGGTTGCCTGTGCAAGCTTAATTCAGCCCCCGCCCCTTGTGCATATGCATGATGATACATGGCCATGTTGTATTTTTCCCCATGCCGCATTCAGTGCACAGGATGGACAGGGCTCAGTTAATGAGCAGCTAGTCAATATTTTCCTCCCCTCCCTCCTGGGGACACACACTACAGTCACCCTAATCGCATCCCTCCCCTCTCTGCCCAGCCTAGAGCCAAAGAGAACGAAACCAACCAACCTTTACCGAGTACTTGCTGTGCCTGAGCCCCCTCTGGGGCCCCTCTGCCCCTCCTCCTGGGCCCACCCTGCTCTCCCCAGGCCGTGGCAGCACAGAGGGTAGCTGTGCTGCCAGCCCCTACCTTGGAGGGGTGTCCGCACGTGCTGCCGTCTCCGGTACAGGTAGCAGCAGAAGCACAGGAAGCAGCAGAGGACGGTGGCAACGATGGCCACAAAGAGGACGACGGCTGAGGCAATGCCAGCGACGGTCTTTGGGCTGTGGGGCACAAGCAGACGTGGTTACAGGGCAGTCTCAAGTACTGTCCCGAGTGCCCAATGCGGCCTTTCCCTAGGTCAAGTGGATCCTTCACAGACTCAGGCTGGCTACATGCTACACAAAGAGAGACGTGCAGGTCACAGGCAGTGCCTGATCCCTGCGCATTGCAAGGAATGAACCCTGGGACCCTGCCCTCCCTCCCCAGGGCTGTGGAGATGACAGGATTAATGGGTGGGCTTGGGGTTTGTGCATGGCTGGGACTTGGAACCCCTTCCCCAACCCTGGGAATGCCCCACGTGACATTCTGGGCAGTGCTTTGATCGAGTAGAGGCTGTGGAGTTATGTGTATGTCATAACCATACAGCTAAGGGTAGCATAAAAATCCCTCCTTTACCTGTAAAGGGTTAAGAAGCTCAGATAACCTGGTTGGCACCTGACCAAAAGGACCAATAAGGGGAGAAGATACCGTCACATCTGTGGGGGAAGGTTTTTGTTTTGTGTTTCTGTGTGTTCTCCCCAGGTCAGTGAGGAACCAGGGCAGGGACAATACATCTCCTAAAGCCATATCTGAGCTAAACATCTAAGATTACCAATTGTAAGTAATAGGAAGGAAATGCATTAGATTATCTTTTGTTTTAGCTTCTGAATTTTCCCTGTGCTAAGAAGGAGGTTTATCCCTGTTTTTTGTAACTTTGAAGTTTTGCCTAGAGGGGAATCCTCTCTGTTTTAAATCTTATTACCCTGTAAAATTACCTTTCATCCTGATTTTACAGAGGTGTTTCTTTTACTTTTTTTTTCTTTATAATAAAGTTCTGTGTTTTAAGAATCTGATTTAAGAATCCAACCAAGGGTCTGGTCTGTGCTCACCTTGTTTACCTATTTGGTTGGTAGATTATTCTCAAGCCTCCCCAGGAAAGGGGGTGAAAGGGCTTGAGGGGATATTTTAGGGAAACAGGAACTCCAAGTGGCCCTTTTCCTGAATCTTTGTCTAACTCATTTGGTGGTGGCAGCAGTACTCATCCAAGGACAGGGAAGGATTTGTGCCTTGGGGAGGTTTTTAACCTAAGCTGGTAGAAATAAGCTTAGGGGGTCTTTCATGTGGGTCCCCACATCTGTACCCCGGAGTTCACAGTGGGGAGGGAGGGAACCCTGACAGGCTGCCTGTGCCATGAGTCATTGGAGACCTAGATCATAGCAGCAGTCAAAATCCTCCCAAGAGATTACAATGGAGAAGAGAAAGGCAGGCTTTGTAGAGCTCCCCTAATCTCTCTGCCCTGCACCTCAGCCATGCTACAGCCACAGCTCCGTGGGAACAGTGGTCTTCATTCCACTCAGGGCTCCACTGCAGGGATGAGAGACACGCTGCCCCTGGAGTTTGGAACCCACATGGGAATGAGCCGGGCACTGGAGCACACTGCATGCCACACACCGCCAGCCCCTTCACGCACGGCCATGCACCACTGCCTCCTCCCACATTCGTGGCCATGCACGACCATCCCCCACCCATGTACATGGCCACACACCACTGCCCCCACTCACATACACAGCCCTGCTCCCCCCACCCGCATGTACACGGCCATGCACCACCGCATGCCCCATATACAGGGCCATGCACTGCCGCCCCCCACACATACATAGCTCCCCGCCCCCCAGCATAAATGGCCAGGCACTGCTGCCCCCTCCACATACCTGTGGCCATGCACCGCCAGTGGCCCCCCCGTGCAGAGCCCTGCCCCTAAATGGGCACGTGCTGCTGCCCCCTCCCCCTGCACTACAGCCACTGACCAAGACGCCTCCCCAAACAGAGCCCTACCCTCTATATGGCCATACACAGCTACCAGCCCCCGTACATAGCCACACACACACCTGCACTGGCTACACACACATACCAAGCAGACTGCAGGGGATCTTCAGTGCTGGGTGCTATCAGGTGCCAAGTCCCCTCCCTTTCCCTCCAGCTCCTACCCTCCTACCTCAGCCCCTCCTTCAGCTCCTTCCCACCCTCCATCTCCAACGTGAATCCTTCAGTCATCCCTCCCCATTCGCTCTGCCTTTATTATGTGGCCCTCTCCCCTCGCACAAATCCTCCCCTTGAGTCTCCCACCCCAACCCCCCAAAATGGGCAGCCTCCTCCCACTGCTCTCACTTCTCCCTCTAGCCTGTCCACTGTGGCAACTCACACACGCTTGCTTGCCTTAGGGACCTTCTGGGCTTGTCACCATGGCTGGATAGCCAGCCAGTGAGGGCTGCAAACCATGCCCTCTTCCAGCTGTGGCTGGTGAGCAACCTGAGCCCCAGCCTGAGCCCCAGGGCTGTGGCTATCCCCCCACTCTTGGCCACCAGGCCGCAGGGCAATGCACCCAGCAGGAGTGATGAAGACACAGCAGCCAAGCTACTTGACAGCACAGGTGTGCACAGCACAACACACCTGTGCTCCGCTCTGCACAGGCTCCTGGCTAAACACTGGGGCCAAACACAAGGCTCACTCCTTATCTCCAAAGCCCTGCACTGAACTGGCCCAAGAGCCCCCTCCCACTGCCAGAACCTACCCACTCACCACAGCACGCGTCATGGGAGCAACCGAAATGCCAAGCTCATAAGAGCAGGGTTGGGGTGGGGGGCTTGGCTACAGGTCTGGCTGCTGGGAGAGATCAGAACAAGCACCAATCTCAGCCACTTCTTCCCACAATCAAACCCAAGGAGCCTGGCACTTGTGGGGGGCTGGGGAGGAAGCCTGTGGGGGGATTTAGCTGTTGTGAGCACAGTGCTAAGGAGGAGACAGTACTGAGCCAGACACAAGCCCTGTGGCCTCTTCTCCAGCCTCACCCTCCAGCTGGTCGACTCAACACTACTGATCACACCAACCTTCTCACCCCCATCAGCTTATCGTGTGCGCTTGTGCCCTCACCCCATGCCTACAGCCATCTCTCCCCCTTACTCTGTCTCACTCTGGGTAGAGCCCAAAGCATCAGGGATGGGCAGGTGACGCTCCAGTTGTGCCCTGGCCACAAGCCACAAACGTTCAGTAATCATACCCATTAGAGACCCGCTGCAATAGCAGCTCATGTTACAAACTCACCACTAGATATTCATCTCTCTCTTGCACATGGAGGAACTCAAGGCAACGGCACTCCGCAGAGGCCCTGACTCAGCACTGCACTGAGACCCATCTATCCCAGCTTCAGCAGCACAGCAAACCAGGCACAGGGGAATTCCCCTGGCATGGGGGGAAGCCCTGTAGAAGGCAAGGCCTGTGTAATGGCTCTGCACCTCCCCTCACAGCTCTAAGGGACCATGGCCAGAGCATTGCTGTGCTCTGCTTCCTCATGTCAGGCACCAGGGCAGGGACAGAGACCACCCTGCACTCTGGCAGGAAGAGGCCATCCACCAGAGTCGGAGGAAGGAACAGCTACCTTTGGCAGCACTGGCTACCCTGATCAGTAAGCGTGGTCCTGCCTCCATAAGGCCCTGGGGTGAACTGTTATGCCAGGAAGTGGCTCAGATCCCTCCCTTCTCTATCCACTCACAGGGTCATTATGGGCAACAGTTCTCCCATTCCCAGGGCCCTCACCTTTGCAGTGTCCTGGGGCTCAATCTTCCCCCACATTACTCAGCATCTGTGTGGAGCCACAGAGAGAGCTGGGGACACAGGATGGTCTGAAGGGCAGCAGTCCCGGACATGGCCAGACCCACCCGTCCACATCAGAGACAGCCAGCTGGGCGCCCGGCTGAGTCCAGCACTGTCTGAGGAGCAGACGCCAGCCCATGCAGAGCTGATGCTCGTGGAACGCACTTTGAACAACTCACCTCCTCTGACTCCCGGCTATTGAAGGCATCTGCCTGCAGGTTGTTACATCAGTCAGCGGCCTGGGCTCCTTCTGGGCTCCTCAAAGCCACTGGGTGCCCGAAGAGTCACAGCAGCAAATGCACCCACCTGCACCCCACTCCCCACATCCTTTTGGCAAAGCTGGCCAAGGTGATGCCCAGGCCTGATTATCACAACTTGCTGCACCTGGGAATGAAAACGCAGGGCCTGGAAAAGCTCCAAAACGCAGCAAACCCAGCGGTTCAGCAGCACAGACCACCATAAGCACGGTGCCCTGGTTCCACTCTCTGTGCGGCCTCCCCACCCAACACAAAGCCCAGGGCAAGGTCTTTGTCCCAAGAGACAAAGCCGCATAGTACCAGCCCTCACCACTTAAGAGACACTTCCCCAGTGCAACCACCACCTCACGACAGCTACGCCCCTGGAGCCGTAACACCATCAACAAACTGTGGGGATTCATCAGTGCAGGAGACAGAGCGACCATGGCAGCCTGACCCAGCCTGTGCAGCTACTTCCCAGAACGACCCACCCAGAGCTACCTGCAGCGCTTGTCCTTCTCTCAGAGCTCCTCACACACACACGCACCAACACCCGGCCAGGCACCTGCTCCTACTCGGAGGAAGGGAGATAAAGAGACCTTGCTGCTGTTTGCTATTTCTAACCTGTGGGAGGGAGGCGTCCACATCCTGGGCGGGGGCCAGCAGCCAAGCAGCTAGACAGAGAGTTGGTCACAGTGAGAGGAGAGATGTCAAAAGCCACAATACCCGAACTCTAGGCGGGGATGGGCATGTGTCTTCAGCTCCTGGCATTGAAGGCAGGATTCTCAGGCTCAGATCGCCTGTCCTATCAACACTCCCTCCCTGTGCTAGGACACAGTCGTTCCCAGGGGGACCAGCGTGCCCAAGCAGGAGCTCTGGCCAGGCTCCGTGCCCCTCTCACCTGAAAGCAAGGCAGTGCTTCTGCTGCGACTCTGTGATGAGCTTCAGGGGCTCGGTGCAGCAGTAGCGCTGGTAACAGTGGCCGCAGCAAAAGGTGAAGAAGTTGCAGTCAAAGCCAGGGTGCCACGAACCGTTCTTGTCCCGGTACCACAAGCAGTCTTCATCCGCCAAGCCTGTGGAGAGAGAAGCCAGATATCAGACCCCCCCGGCCCTTCCAAGCCCCCAGCTGGGGAGGGTCCCCACCTCTCCAACCCAGGAATTAGAATGCAGGCAGGGTCTGGGGAGCTCTACACCAGGTCCAGTGTTCCTGCTGCCCCTTTCCCAGTTCAGTGATGGCTGCAAAGAGGTGTCCAGAGCAACACTGGCTGCTGCAGCAGACTGCCATGGCCGCTGCTCCGGTTCTTCTGTGTTCCCAACTGGGGAAGCGTTCAGCCATGCTTTCCAAGGACAAGTCCCTCAAGCTGGACCTGTGCATGCAGAGTCCCTGCCCACTCATGGGCAGCCATGAGATGTGGATGGCATGCAGTCCTTCTGCACCGTCTGCTGCCAACCAAAGATGTAAAAGATAGATGGAGTGGATCAAAACAAGAAATAGACCAGATTTGTTTTGTATTCGTTTGCTTCCCCCCCTCCCCTGTCTAGGGGACTCATTCCTCTAGGTCACACTGTAGTCACTCACAGAGAAGGTGCAGCGAGGTAAATCTAGCCATGTATCAATCAGAGGCCAGACTAACCTCCTTGTTCCAATAAGAACAATAACTTAGGTGCACCATTTCTTATTGGAACCCTCCGTGAAGTCGTGCCTGAAATACTCCTTGATGTAAAGCCACCCCCTTTGTTGATTTTAGCTCCCTGTAGCCAACCCTGTAAGCTGTGTCGTCAGTCGCCCCTCCCTCCGTCAGAGCAACGGCAGACAATCGTTCCGTGCCTTTTTCTGTGCGGACGCCATACCAAGGCAAACATGGAGGCCGCTCAGCTCACTTTGGCAATTAGGAGCACATTCAACACCACACGCATTATCCAGCAGTATATGCAGCACCAGAACCTGGCAAAGCGATACCGCGCGAGGAGGCGACGTCAGCACGGTCACGTGAGTGATCAGGACATGGACACAGATTTCTCTGAAAGCATGGGCCCTGACAATGCATGCATCATGGTGCTAATGGGGCAGGTCCATGCTGTGGAACGCCGATTCTGGGCTCGGGAAACAAGCACAGACTGGTGGGACCGCATAGTGTTGCAGGTCTGGGACGATTCCCAGTGGCTGCGAAACTTTCACATGCGTAAGGGCACTTTCATGGAACTTTGTGACTTGCTTTCCCCTGCCCTAAGGCGCATGAATACCAAGATGAGAGAAGCCCTCACAGTTGAGAAGCGAGTGGCAATAGCCCTGTGGAAGCTTGCAACGCCAGACAGCTACTGGTCAGTTAGGAATGAATTTGGAGTGGGCAAATGTACTGTTGGGGCTGCTGTGATGCAAGTAGCCCACGCAATCAAAGATCTGCTGATATCAAGGGTAGTGACCCTGGGAAATGTGCAGGTCATAGTGGATGGCTTTGCTGCAATGGGATTCCCTAACTGTGGTGGCGCCATAGACGGAACCCATATCCCTATCTTGGCACCGGAGCACCAAGCCGCCGAGTACATAAACCGCAAGGGGTACTTTTCAATAGTGCTGCAAGCTCTGGTGGATCACAAGGGACGTTTCACCAACATCAACGTGGGATGGCCGGGAAAGGTACATGATGCTCGCATCTTCAGGAACTCTGGTCTGTTTCAAAAGCTGCAGGAAGGGACTTTCTTCCCAGACCAGAAAATAACTGTTGGGGATGTTGAAATGCCTATAGTTCTCCTTGGGGACCCAGCCTACCCCTTAATGCCATGGCTCATGAAGCCGTACACAGGCAGCCTGGACAGTAGTCAGGAGCTGTTCAACTACAGGCTGAGCAAGTGCAGAATGGTGGTAGAATGTGCATTTGGACGTTTAAAGGCGCGCTGGCGCAGTTTACTGACTCGCTTAGACCTCAGCGAAACCAATATTCCCATTGTTATTACTGCTTGCTGTGTGCTCCACAATATCTGTGAGAGTAAGGGGGAGACGTTTATGGCGGGGTGGGAGGTTGAGGCAAATCGCCTGGCTGCTGGTTACGTGCAGCCAGACACCAGGGCGGTTAGAAGAGCACAGGAGGGCGCGGTACGCATCAGAGAAGCTTTGAAAACCAGTTTCATGACTGTCCAGGCTATGGTGTGAAAGTTCTGTTTGTTTCTCCTTGATGAAACCCCCCGCCCCTTGGTTCACTCTGCTTCCCTGTAAGCTAACCACACTCCCCTCCTCCCTTCGATCACCACTTGCGGAGGCAATAAAGTCATTGTTGCTTCACATTCATGCATTCTTTATTCATTCATCACACAAATAGGGGGATGACTACCAAGGTAGCCCAGGAGGGGTGGTGGAGGAGGGAAGGAAAATGCCACACAGCACTTTAAAAGTTTACAACTTTAAAATTTATTGAATGCCAGCCTTCTTTTTTGGGGGCATCCTCTGTGGCGGAGTGGCTGGTTGGCCGGTGGCCTCCCCACCGCGTTCTTGACCATCTGGGTGTGGAGGCTATGGAACTAGGGGAGGAGGGCGGTTGGTTACACAGGGGCTGCAGTGGCAGTCTGTGCTCCAGCTGCCTTTGCTGCAGCTCAACCATACACTGGAGCATACTGGTTTGGTCCTCCAGCAGCCTCAGCATTGAATCCTGCCTCCTCTCATCACGCTGCCGCCACATTTGAGCTTCAGCCCTCTCTTCAGCCCGCCACCTCTCCTCCCAGTCATTTTGTGCTTTCCTGCACTCTGACATTATTTGCCTCCACGCATTCGTCTGTGCTCTGTCAGTGCGGGAGGACAGCATGAGCTCGGAGAACATTTCAGCTCAAGTGCGTTTTTTTTTCTTTCTAATCTTCACTAGCCTCTGGGAAGGAGAAGATCCTGTGATCATTGAAACACATGCAGCTGGTGGAGAAAAAAAAAGGGACAGCGGTATTTAAAAAGGCACATTTTATAAAACAGTGGCTACACTCTTTCAGGGTATACCTTGCTGTTAACATTACATACATAGCACATGTGCTTTCGTTTCAAGGTCGCATTTTGCCTCCCCCCACCGCGTGGCTACCCCCTCAACCCTCCCACCTCCCTGTGGCTAACAGCGGGGAACATTTCTGTTTAGCCACAGGCAAACAGCCCAGCAGGAACAGGCTCCTCTGAGTGTCCCCTGAAGAAAAGCACTCTATTTCAACCAGGTGACCATGAATTATATCTCACTCTCCTGAGGATAACACAGAGAGATAAAGAACGGATGTTGTTTGAACGCCAGCAAACATACACTGCAATGCTTTGTTGTACAATGATTCCCGAGTACGTGTTACTGGCCTGGAGTGGTAAAGTGTCCTACCATGAAGGATGCAATAAGGCTGCCCTCCCCAGAAACCTTTTGCAAAGGCTTTGGGAGTACATCCAGGAGAGCCGCGAATGCCAGGGCAAAGTAATCCTTTCACATGCTTGCTTTTAAACCATAGTATTTTAAAAGGTACACTCACCGGAGGTCCCTTCTCCGCCTGCCGGGTCCAGGAAGCAGCCTTGGGTGGGTTCAGGGGGTACTGGCTCCAGGTCCAGGGTGAGAAACAGTTCCTGGCTGTTGGGAAAACCGGTTTCTCCGCTTGCTTGCAGTGAGCTATCTACAACCTCATCATCATCATCATCTTCTTCGTCCCCAAAACCTGCTTCCGTGTTGCCTCCATCTCCATTGAAGGAGTCAAATAACACGGCTGGGGTAGTGGTGGCTGAACCCCCTAAAATGGCATGCAGCTCATCATAGAAGCGGCATGTTTGGGGCTCTGACCCGGAGCAGCCGTTCGCCTCTCTGGTTTTCTGGTAGGCTTGCCTCAGCTCCTTCAGTTTCATGCGGCACTGCTTCGGGTCCCTATTATGGCTTCTGTCCTTCATGCCCTGGGAGATTTTGACAAAGGTTTTGGCATTTCGAAAACTGGAACGGAGTTCTGATAGCATGGATTCCTCTCTCCAAACAGCGATCAGATCCCGTACCTCCCGTTCGGTCCATGCGGGAGCTCTTTTGCGATTCTGGGACTCCATCATGGTCACCTCTGCTGATGAGCTCTGCATGGTCACCTGCAGCTTGCCACGCTGGTCAAACAGGAAATGAGATTCCAAAGTTCGCATGGTTCTTTTCCTGTCTACCTGGCCAGTGCATCTGAGTTGAGAGTCCTGTCCAGAGCAGTCACAATGGAGCACTCTGGGATAGCTCCCGGAGGCCAATACCGTCGAATTGTGTCCACAGTACCCCAAATTCGAGCCGGCAAGGCCGATTTAAGCGCTAATCCACTTGTCAGAGGTGGAGTAAGGAAATCGATTTTAAGAGCCCTTTAAGTCGAAATAAAGGGCTTCATCGTGTGGACGGGTGCAGGTTTACATTGATTTAACACTGCTAAATTTGACCTAAAGTCCTAGTGTAGACCAGGGCTTAGAGGCGCCATGGGGTGGTGTTTAGTTTTCCCAGATTACTGGGTGAGGACTGGAGTTGATTCTGATTTGTAATGTTAAGACAACCCCTAGATATTGAACCCAGCCCTTGAGAAAAGAAGACTAATGGGGTGGGGGCATTAATATGCTAAGGGCTGTTCTAAAGAGGATGGTGTTCAGTTGTTCTCCATGATCACTGGAGATAGGACAAGAAGTAATGGGCTTAACCTGCAGCCAGGGAGATTTAGGTTAGGTATTAGAAAAAAAATTCTATCTGTACAGATAGCATAAGAACATAAGAACGGCATTACTGGGTCAGACCAAAGGTCCATCAAGCCCAGTATCCTGTCCTCTGACAGTGGCCAATGGCAGGTCCCCCAAAGGGAATGAAGAGACAGGTTATCATCAAGTGATCCATGCCCTGTCACCCAATCCCAGCTTCTGGCAAACAGAGGCTAGGGACACCATCCCTGCCCATCCTGGCTAGTAGCCATTGATGGACCTATCCTCCATGAATCTATCTAGCTCCTTTTTGAACCCCCTTATAGTACTGGCCTTCACAACACCCTCTGGCAAGGAGTTCCAGAGGTTGACAGTGTGTTGCGTGAAAAAATACTTTCTTGTGTTTGTTTTAAACCTGCTACCTATTAA